CTCGGCCCCCGGGGTCTCGCTCCGCGCTGTCCAGTGCGCCCTGCGGGTGTCCGGTGGCGAGGTTTGCTTTTCGGACTGTGTCACTTCCGGGGTTTTCTTCTTTTGGGTAAAAATAGGGCAGTGGATTATTATGCTCTTAAGATCGGTCAAAACAGACGTGTCTGTGTAATGCGGAGTGACTTGGGGGCCCCTTGGCACGGTCGGCTGGCGGTGGTAGAAAGTTCAGCCCAGAAGACATCTGTTTTTCCACCGCCCCGGGGGGTTCTGCTTCGCACGTGTGTGTGGGAGGGGGTTTCGCTAGCGGGGGAGTGAGCCCTGGGCCCCGATTTCGCGGACCACTTCAGCCTCTGCAGCCTCGGGGTGTTGGAAGCCAGATGCGGGAGGCCTGAGTTCGAAGTTCTGTGTTTTCTTTTTCTTTTTTTTTTTAATATCTATTATAGAAATGTGGGGTACAATTCAGGGTTAGGTATACAAGCGTTGATTATGCAGGTACCCTTGTTGATGAGGTGTGTCCCTCCTTCCCCTAGCAGTTTCCCTCAACTGCCCTTCCCACCCCCCCGCCCCTGACAGTTTCCCACCACTGCCAATCGCTTTCTTATAGCATCATGACTGTTCAAGGTCACCTTATGAGTGAGAACATATGGAACTCCGTTCTTTGTTTCTGCGATACATCCTGAGTATGATCGACTCCAAATCCAACCAAGTTGCTGCAAAGTCCCATATATTTGTCCTTATTTTGTGGTCCACCCCGAATGTGGTGCCGCCAGCAAGAGGAACTTAGGTAAAACGAGTGGTATGGACAAGCGTGCAGTGCCCGGCCTGCGTGTATTTGACCCCACCCGAGCGTGCTCCTTATGTCAGTCTTGCGGGAGGAAGAAGTTGGATTCAGAAAGTAAGCAAGGTTGGCCTTGACCAGCTCTTTGTGGTGGGGGAGGGGCAAGAATTACAAGGGAAATGTTAGCCATTTTCCAAAACTGTCAACTATCCGACACTAGTGGTGAAACCTTTGGGAAGAAAGGGAGTGTAGACTGGGCGTGGTGGCTCACACTTTTAATCCCAGCACTTTGGGAGGCCGAGGTGGGAGGACAGCTTGAGCCCAGGACTTTGAAGACCAGCCTGGGCAGCATAGGGAGACTCTATCTCTAATAAAAATAAATTAAGGGGAAAAAATGGGGGGAGTCTGATCCTCAATCCTGGAGCAAATGAGGATAGGGAAGCAAAGAATAGTACCCGTTTAAAGTAAAATAAACAAAGGCATTTCAGGGTCCAGTCAGTGGAGGAGGAGTTAAAAGGGGATGGGCCCAGGGTTGGACTCTGCTCCTCTGTCTCAGCCAGCTTTGTGTGCTTGTTTTCATGGCTGCCAGATCAATGTGGGAGGCTGTATTAAACAGTTTGCTCTTACAAGCTGGGTTCTGAAACTTCAGAATCCTTGGGCAGGCCTTGGTGACCCTGTTACTGGACAGTATTGTTGTTCAAACTTTGATGTATAAGGTGATGTCCCTCATTTCAAAGGAATTCTATGTACTCACTAATGAGGAGAGATTGACCCAAGCTCAAATAGTGTAAGAGGGATGGACAGGGGCAATTGGAATGTGAATTGAGGGTAGAACCAGTTAGGCCAGAGTTCTAAAATGAAAAAGATATTAGCATATGGGAAGGACCAGAAAGAAAGAATTAAATAACTCTTTTGACATTTCTTGTTTGTTTCAGCTACTTCCCATCCCATCCCCCTTGCCTTGTGCGCTTCATGGTTTAACCGTTAGGAAACATAAAAGCATTGATAAAGGAGCATATTGGGTAGTCTGAATATGGGAGTATGGATACTCACATCCTCTGTTGGTGGGAATGTACAACCCTTCAGGAGAACAGTGTATAGTGTGGGTTAGAAGCTCCCCTGAAATATGTGCTCTTTGACAAAGAAATCTCTCTTCAGATAATTTGTCCTTAGGAAATAATTGTACATGGGCACAAAGATGAGTGTGCAGAGTTTTTTTGTTTCTACAGAGTTGATCATGGAAAGACAGGAAGAACCCAAATATCTAGCAACAAAGGATTGATCAAATACAGGGGTTTATGTAGCCACTAGAAAGAAAAATGTAGACATGTGGTTACGGACATGGAACCATGTCCACAATAGAATGTTTGGGGGGGGAAAAAGCAGG